TGTATAAAAGGGGATTTGTTTAGGGTTATGCCACTTAAACATTCAGCAATCTTGATAAAAATCAATGCTCAATCAGAAAAGGGGTAATTATGTAACAATTGTCACCGTGTGCGGAGTGTGTGCGTGACTGTGTATGCGTGTGTGTGGATGTGTGTGTGTATGTGTGTGCGCGTGCGCGAGTCTGACTGTCTTTGTTCAATGCACTGTTTTATTGCTCACCCAGTAACTTGGCGCAATTGAGATCTGGCAGTCTTGTAAAGATTATCTGATATTTCATTTCATTTCATTTCATTTCGTTTATATTCAGTGATGCATGCAGAGATTCCAATGAAAATTGTACCTAAATGTATTGGGAGGAAAACTCTATCAAAACATATCATGAGACCCATGATTAAATATTCATACTTCAAACAATACAACTTTTGAGAAGTGGGACATTTTTTCTGACTCACTCTGTAGTTCAGTGCACCGCACGGCACCCGACCGGGCGCCTTGAGGACACCGGCCGGGCCCCGGCCGGGCCCCGGCAGGGCACCTTACGGGAGCCATCGGTACACCTGCTCATCGGACGGAGCCCGTAAGGTTACCGGCCGGCACTCGGCCGGCACCCTTACGGGCGCCTTGCATTTCACTCGACCAATTTTCTCGGGACACCTCCCGGGCGCCGCAGAATATGTGACCACACATGCCGTAAAAATAATAATCGGACGATTCCCGTACAGTCTCTTAATTCACAGCAAGCCGCCGGGTAGGGAAAATCGTACGGGGCCCGGTTTATATGTGACCTAGGCATAACGGCACTTGTTCCCTCTTGAAACACCGAACATACCGCGGTGCGTGCAGCTGAATATACAATGGCGTCTTATTTTGTTTACAAGCGGCAGATTCCTTTATTTTTTGTATCGCTGCATTTGTCATCAAAATAAAACCATGCGCGGGATTTAGAGTGAGGCAATAGAATATACATTTAGCCTGACGGTAGTGAAGTAAGAGAAAGAACTCAAGAGAAGATGAAAACACGGGCACTGAAAATGTGTGAGATGTCATGGGACATCGTCTGCTTGTGCAAATCATGTCTATACTGTGATCTCACACATCTCAGCAGCGTTCGGAGCGCTCGTCAGGTGCTATGCAGGGGCTGTATTTAAGCGTTTTGTAATTTATAATAATCATTACTTCGAATGTTTCCAAGCAATGAATTTTGATTACCTCGTCAAATCAAAGTTTCAACTTTGCAATAATGAAATTAAGGTTAGGTTTTAAAATCAATGAAAATCTACTTTAAGGTTTTTATCACATTTATTTTATTTGTAAACTTGGTCTGAGCCTTTCATTTAAATGGAAGCGAATCAATGTTGGAGGTACAATTGTACAAATAAATACATTGAATTCGTTTTCAATGGCTCTCTGCCGTAGCAATACACGGAATTGACAAAAGACTTAACTCCGTTTCGTTGAAGATCGACCATAAATGAAGGAATTCATGCATGGCTGATTGTCAACGAAATGGAGTTAAGTCTTTTGTTAATTCTGCCTATTACTACGGGATGCAGCCAGTAAAAACGAATTGGTTCATTAAAATTATGGAAATACAAGTACTACTTTAAACAGAACTTTGTTATTCCTTGCTCATTTTTACCTAATTGAGGTGTCATATGAAAGGGCAGAAACTGAACTTTCTAGAAATGCGATTTACTTTTTGAAATTCAGATACCGGCCGCCAAATGACTTTTTGGTTTCCTCTCTTCAAAAAGTTGATTTAAATCACTCATGCGTGAAGTATACATCATATGAGTAGCATCAAATGAAAGAAGTGGATCTAAGCTTTACAAATATGTGCGATGTATCAATTATAATTAACACTAAGTTATGATAAAACATCGATAATTCTAGGTTTCGTTTTTTTTTTTTATGAGACGCGCTGTATAAGAGCTTGTCTAACTGTAAAATTTATCAATGATAAATAAGCGAGGAACTAACATGAAAAGCACTAAAAATAAATTCACTTCTTTCACAATATTGAAATTTAGATTAGTTTTCATTGGAAGGGTAAAATGTTTATACTACTTTTGCACTAAACATTTTTCAAATATAAGACATAGTAAAAACAAGTATGATGGAGTGACCAAAGTTCACGGAGATAAAACAAAAAATTATTTGGAAATGTGTTATTTGATCCGTAATTTGTCCTATTCTACACAATTTTTTTTAGCTCAATTATTACGAAATGGAATGCATTTAATTCGTCCTAGTTTTTCCCAGATCACCTGCCCAAACACCACCTCAAACAACGTCGGTAACAACCCCCAGGTACAACCCAAGCTTCTACACCTGCAACAAAACCAGCTACAACACCTAAAACAACACCAGCTACACAACCGGGAACAACATTCAGTACAACACCTCAAACTCCACCTCAATGTTCAATGTGTCATGTACATAATGTTAGGTTACTTTTATAGCAGTTAGGTTTCCTGAAAATATATGGAGATTTTTCTTTTTGTTAAGTTCACTTTCTAATTTAAAGAAAAAAATGTAGACTTTATATTTGGACAATAGAGTACAGGTCCTCACAAAGTTTTATGCCTTCGCCCTTGAGTGTTGTAGCCACTTGACTACGAAATCATCTAATGTGCTTTAGCATCTGAGTCATTTATCATTTGTCTTCTTTATTTCCAGCTGATTGTGGCTCCATTGTTTGCCAGAATAGCGGAACATGCGTAAGCTCTGGACTATGTGAATGTGTTGCTGGTTTTACCGGTACTTTGTGCGAGACTAGTAAGTTCCCCCCCCCCCCAAACAAACAAAAAGGAAATAAATAAATAATAATAATAATTGGGTTACAAATAATTAAGAAATAGATAAATAAATTGTGTCCCCTCGTATAAAACTAAATACTGAATAATGAAATTTAATATCTGATACGCATGTACTTATCAATGATAAGGCGTTGGGATATGATCGAATCCCATAATATGTTGCCATTGTTGTAATCAAATCCGTTTTTCCTTTCACATCATTAACTTCTTTACCCTCAAATGGTAAACCAACCTTGATAGCATTCTGCTCTAGAGAAATGCAGGGAAACAGGAAAGTAGACTGGTGAAATTTGAATGATATCAGACAAAACATGAGAAAGTTGTAATTTTTTAAAAGTTGTAGTCACTGTAAATATAGCCTCTTCAAATTGCCTGAATTGGTACAACTTTCCTATTTCTTCCATTTGCACACAGAATTACACAAATTTAAATTTCGGTAAAATGTTTCACTCAGTGGTTAACTTCTCTTTAGAAGACCTACCTGTATACAAATATGCTACTAATACGCTGAGAAGAAGAGAAATTTATGATTTGTTTGTTAATGACAAACGGGAGAATTAACCGTCACAATCCACTGACTAATTTATATTTTGATATTTGCACAGATGTGGTGATTTAGTATTTCAAACATTCTTAAGTTTCTAGTTATTGATCTGATTTTTTTTCAAACTTTTGTTTATCTTATTCTTCTGTTTCATGCACATGAAATTGTTACAAGGGTCTTTGCTGTTGTTTATTTGTTTGTCTTTTGTTTTTTTATTTTTTTTAATATTTTTTAACAAAATCTTTGAATTCGTCTGCGCTACTGATAGATTATTCTTAGTGCGCCTTAAATCTTTATCTGGTACATGTTTATATAACTTTGCAATTAATTAGTCCATAATTTTAATATTTTATCCTATTATTGTCTAGGCCAACAGGCCCAATGTTGAGAGCAGTTTTGTAAATTACAATGCCACTTTGTTAGAATAAAACTTCTCATGCAAAATAAAGAAATAAAGATTGTTATAGTTTCATTTAGGCGAAAAATGAACTCAACAGAATATCAATGGCTTATGGTTAATAATTAATTTTAAAAAAAAATTTGTTCATCAAGGCTATGCAAAGTTTGTTCATTGATCAATAAATTCAACCATCAGATATCAACGATTGTCTTCCCAATCCTTGCATGAATGGAGGAAGTTGTACTGATGGGATTGACTCTTTCGGTTGTTCCTGTGTTGCTAGCTATACTGGGAGTATGTGTCAAACAGGTAAGCTAAGTCATATCATTTTCTCACCGTCATAAAAAAGAAAATGGTTATATTTTCTTTCTTATTTGGATGGAGGCCAATGAGATGAAAACTCTTAAATAAAAGACTTTATTCTTAGCCTAGATTACGAACATGTTTTAAACATTGCTTTACCCATTGCAAAAATATGAGATCACGGTTCAAAGAATGAAGTAGCTATATATTAAACATATAGCTACTTCATTCTGTGAACCGTGAGCTCATATTTTTGCAATGATTAAAGCAATGTTTAAAACATGTTCGTTATCTAGGCTAAGAATAGAGTCTGAACGTTTTAGTGTTTCAGATATTTGTTTTAGATTTTCTTTTAATTTAATCTAATACCACGATCTCAAAGTCTTCACAAATTTCATCAACCTTTTCCTACTCACTAATAGTTGTTTGCACAATGCAATCTCTTGTCCAGAACTCAACTATTTAAAGGGCCCATGACATCGAAATACAAGCGTATTTCAGTTGGTGTGCTGTCCTGCATACATCTCATATGTAAATATGTAAACTTCTGAATTTGTTTCATATATATATTTTTTTGTTGTTGAAATATTTGTTTTTTCAAACTTGCTAAGCTCCACCCCAAATACCTCCAGATCTCATTTCCCTTGAGACATCATCTGTCAGTCATCAATGAGCTTACTTGAGAAAGTGGTATGAATCTTTGCCGAAGTCTACCACCTGTTACAATATGTGTTACAATAACAACATAGAAGTTAATAGTTATTATTATTATCATTATTATCATTATTATCGTTATTATTATTATTATTATAAGTATTATTATTGCTATTATTATCATTGTTTATATTATGATAAATATTATTAAAGGTTACTCATCATATTGTTTCAAATTTTCATTTTACCACTTTACATAGATGTTAATGAGTGTTCGATAGATACAAGTCTCTGTAGTAATGGAAGATGTGTCAACTTGGATGGATCATACACTTGTGTCTGCAATACTGGATTCACATTAGTCAATGCAAATTCTTGCAATGGTATGTCTAAATATACATTTTTATTTTTCATTAAGGAAGAAAATAGGTTTCATGACAAACTTTGTAAAATTAAAATAACAGAGAGATAAAAACAAACAAATCAACATCAAGTTCGTTCAGTTTTATGTAAAATTTTATGAAGGCATAGTTCATCATCCAAATAGCATTCTGATATAGTTTTTTTTCATGTGATTTCATAGTTACATATTCAAAAGTGTGTAGCAACTTTCCAATTGAAAAAAAATGAAGTAAAAAGCATTCAAATTCACAACAAACAAAATTTGGTAGAAATTTGGCCATTCGATTGATAAGGGTATGAATAATTTAGTTGTTAACTGTAAATATATGGAAATTACTTGATACATTCCTTATAAATCATCTGACGAGAATGGTATAGCATATATTGTTAACTTTCCATCTGTAGTCTCCTTATGGAAATCTTGTTTGATGAGAATACAAAACCGAATGTATTCATATTTCTTTTGCATGTAGAAAACACATTGAAGTATCCATAAATAGCTTGGTTTCATGCCATTGTCTTTGTTTCTTTTTTGTATGTATATCCAGCTCTCCCAAGCAGTCTGTCCACTAGTCAAGTGACTGTGCAGATTACAGGACAAAGTCTGAATGGTCAAACCCTGACGTATACACCAGAATTAACCAATAGGTCATCGGCCAAATTCATGGAATATGAAGTTGCATTCTGTTACATTGTAAGTATATCTTTCTTCACCAGTAAATGTGAGAAAATTGACGACAATTTTGTAGACTCAAATATGTACAAGTGATGCCTCTTCGGCTTGCAAATCCAACACACTACATACTCATCAAATATAACACATTAAGAGGTTCGTACAAATGTCAGGAAGTGCAGTAGTCTACTGGAACTTTGTAATAATGTGTTGGTTCCTTCTGAACAAACGCTACTTGTAGATCCATGAAAAAAAGAGAATATACTCGTAGTCCTTTAGGTATGCCTCCGCCACTTAAGATGGTGCAGAAGACAGTGTTTTTATCGTCTTGCCAGTCCGTCCTCCGTTCTTCCCATTTTAACAAAACTTGGATGAAATACCAATCATATATCTTGTTTACGCAATACCTCGAAAACACATTGAAGCAATTCACACCAAACTTGGATGAAGTATGCATGAGCATTCGAGGATGAACTGATTGGATCTTGGGTGAAAGATGTCAAAAGTCAAAGGTCACATGGTAATGAAAGCGTTAAACTTACCAGAAAATATATCTTCACTGCAATAATGGGTTGATGTCAAAGTCAGAGGAACATTGGTCAACTTACAAGAGGCATCTTGGGACGCAGTCATATTCATGCTCTTCACACTTCAGAGGTTTCTTATTTCTAAATAAATCAGTTTTGTCTCCTCACATTAGCAGCAATTAATATTATTTCCACTCCTTCTTATTTTGATCATACAAATTTGAATATTTATTGAATGAACCAGTGCAAAAGGAAATTTCTAAATGTATGTTCAAAATTGCCAATCTGTACACGAAAATAGTGATAAATGATTAGTTATAATCTAATCCCTTCGATTTGAGAATGGCACAGTGTACTGCATTTGTGATTTTGGGGAGTGATTTTTGCTATTTCTGATCATGTTTATTGTGTACTTCATAGCATTCTAGATCTAAAAGAACATGCTTATATTTCATTACAGTAAGAGGAGACACTCTACTGGTATGTGTTATTAGTCTATTATTTCTGATAATGTTGATGTTTCTAGAAACTCATAGTTTATTTAAGAATGGCACAGTGTACTGCATCTGTGATTTTGGGGAGTGATTTTTGCTATTTCTGATTATTTCTGATAATGTTGATGTTTCTAGAAACTCATAGTTTATATCAATTTGTGTACACTACATAATCACCCTGTCTCTATTGAATGTTCAGTGCATGACTGGAACTGAAGTTTATCTTTGAAAAAAAAGGAAATATATTTACATGAACTACACATATGTATAAAAGCATACTCTGATTCTGGTTTTCTCTACTTTTTCATTTATCAGTTCAGCCAATATGTAATGGAACAGTTAGGTTCTACACTTTACAGTACTAATTGCGTAGTGCTGTCATTCAGGCAAGGTAGCGTAGTCGGTGACGTGCAAGTGGAACTTGCTGCTAAGAGCCAAAGTGTAGCAGATGGGCTTGCTGTGAGTTTATATGCCTTATCTACCAACATTGATCAAAATTTATCAGCTAATGGTCAAACTCTGGTAGCGTCTATATTTATAGGTAAGAGTAAAATACAGCCTATTTTCACTAGCCATTCTTCTCTCAAGACACCTTACAAGAGGATATTGTATGTCACATACCAAATATTAGCTTTTAGTTCTAAAAACAAATAATTTTGTTGTTTATGACTGGGTATCTTGAAATGAGTTCAGCTGTCTGCAATGTAAAGAAAGCCATTTCGCAAATGACAGGCAATGCCAGAGGACACAATCGACATGTCAATTTCAGATACATTTTGTATTAGAAATTAGTATAGCCTTGCAACTGTTAAAAGTTTGTGATTTTAATTTGATGGTCCTTAATTATTTGCAATATCATATATCTATAATTGGTAATCAACTCTCTATCACTAAGGAGTGGATTGAGTATCTGGTGCAACCAAGACATAAGATGTTGTGTTCAAGATACACTCTAACACACAGCATAGATTGTTTGTTTTTCAAATTTCTGTGACAAATAATTGTAGGCTTCAAATTATTATATCTTGGAGTGACTTGCATTTGAACCAATTTTTATGTCATCATACAATATCGAATCATCTATGGTTTTGTATCAATATCAAGGCAACAAAAGGCACGGTGTTGGTGCACATGGCGTTTGACATTGTCCAATTCATGGGATTCGACCCATGTGCAGTCACCCGTGAAGAGATGCCCAACAAAAAATGGTACCAAAATAAGCTGGAAGAATGAAGCTACTTATTATATTCCATACTTATAGTTTAAAGCAGCTTTAAACATTTGTCACACCTGATGCTATTTATAATGCCAAACAGCAACGGATGACCATGTAAATTAAGCACATAAATCTTCAATTTATGCGTTTAGTTCTATATCAAGGCTTATAACATTTATTTTCCCCCTCGGAAACAACACCAGAAACAATCCCAGGAACGAGCCCAGAAACAACACCAGGAAAAACTCCTCGGACCCCTCGAACACTGGGAACAAAATTCGGTACACCTTCTCAAACAACACCAGGAACTATACCACGTACAACACCGAATACATATAATATAATACATATGGCGAGAGTGCAAAAATCGACTTGCGCCAAAGTGATGGCTACAGTATGTGATATTTTGGGATTAAAGTCAGAGAATGAATTGAATGTATCGAATGAAATGCATTGCATATGGTTTTTGCAGAAGCAAGGTCACACACAAACACACACGCACACATGTGCACAAATGTTCGTTGATATTTGATATGTGTGGCGTGAATAATTTTATTAGTGATATTATTTTGATTCGTAATGACCGATTTAATACCCAAATCCCAAGTGTTTTATTCAAACAAAACCTAGGCAACTTTGGCGCAAGTCGATGTTTGCACTCTCGTAAACAATGCATCCTGCTTATCCACGCGTGAACACATACCACACCGAAATGATACTACATGATTTGGAATAAAACATGCTTTCATAAGATGTATGGTAAATTCAATTCAATTCAATTCTAGGTTTATTTAAAAATATCTTCGCAGCCGTGAGGCTGAATTGCGATACAGTTCACAGATTAAGAGCATGCAAAATTACAAAATTGACATATCAATTACAACGAACATAGATTGGCATGAAATACAAATAAAATATATAAATAGAAAACCAAATAATTCAAATGAGAGTTTCAGAAAAATGGGTTGTTGAAATTACATCAGGAGATTAGCAATTATTCAAAACTGTTTTAAACATCTAAAGACAAGACGAGAAATTGCAAAAGATTATATTTCAAATTAAAAACTTATCTTTGGAGTGGTAACAGACATGTTTGTTCATTATAAGTACATCATCGATTTACAAAATTCATATGGTAATAAGTTAAATGTATTGCACAAAGTTTTTAGGAAAGTACAAACAAATAACATTATTCAAAACCATTGTAATCATCTAAAGACAAGACGAAAAATTGCAAAAGATTATAATTTAATTTACTGTTCATAGATGATTTTTGAAATATTTGAAATATTTTTTATGTGTACACTTTTGTTTGACTCACACTGTAGTTTTAGTTTAATGCATATAACATTTTGTTGAACTGTATTTTCATCAATAAATTCAAATATAATGAACAACCACGTGGACCTCTGGAATTATTCCAATGATGAGTATTTCCCTTTCTCGATCATTACATTGCTTCCTTTTCTGTGTTCAGAGAACGCATGTCTCCCAACAACCTGTCTAAATGGAGGTACTTGTCACCAAACTGAAATCGGTTACCAGTGTATTTGCATGGATCCATTCATCGGCCGGAACTGTGAAATAAGTAAATGGTACAGCCAAATTGAATGGAAATTTAGGAAGCCAATTTCACAATACAAAGACACATAAACCGACAAATCAAAAATATGAACGTATGTATGTAAGTATGTATGTATGTAAATTTACATATATTATTCACATACACATGATAAACTCCAGCGAAATGCGTTGTTATTTTGGTAAACATGGCATTTTCCCAATTGTCCAAAAACATGTTTTCCTTCGTTGAGATTAGCCCTTCGTATCATTTCTTAAAAGTAAACACATCATAACGTTATGTCTAGACACTGGTGCCCAGGAAACTGAGGATAAAAACTGCAAGCATTCATTCGTAAGTTCTATGCTACTACAACTTTACCAAAACTAACTTTTGACAGGTATCGCTGATCCTTGCACCCAACGAAACCCGTGCGTCAATGGTGTCTGTCGTCCCATTGGACAAGGGCAGTACGAGTGTGAATGCACAGATCATTATGAGGGGAACCATTGTGATGAACCAACTCGTAAGTCATATGTTTTGATTTACTTGTATGCATCTTAAAGAAATTACGTTTTGCAAATCCATGATTCGCATCGTTTCGAAAGATGGGTGTAATATAGGCAAATTTGGAAACGTTGTGTTTTTACACAATGTTTTACCCTCAGAAATGACAATGAAACCTTTTCATTTCTGAATAAGTAAATCGAATGTCTTTTCGTCATATCTGGATATGAAATACATTATCAAAATACTTCCCTTTTCTGGGGGCGGGGGAGGCTTTTATTCATCTGTTGTCGCTATTCACGACGTTCTATTAAGTAAGTGAACGAATATCAAAGGATCTGGACTATTAAACTCGGATTCGGGGACAGCTCAGCCCCGCTGAAAATACGTGGCCGAGTTGTCCCAGTATACCCTAACTTTAATCCTAACCCTAACCCTAATGCTCAACCTTATCCTAACCCTTACCCTAAAAGATTTCATAAAAACATGCAAACACAATATTACTTACTTACTATATGAATTAAATCTAAGATCTTCAGTCCTTCTTAACATGTCGAAGATGGTCTTGTACATACATCACCGAACTTAGGATCACCAATGAGCTTATACTACCTTCTTGAGATCACATAGTTTGCGGTACAGGACAGCACCACTGTCTTTTGACGAGGCATTTGTCACTATCACTTTGTTAAGAATTTATTCCTTGAATGCTTTCAGGGCCTTAGGGCAACTAGGCTAGCCAGTGTAGGAATCATAATAGTATTTTGTAGGTGTCTTGACCATTCCATTGGTATTTACGTATATATATATAAATGTAACTGTTCTTATCATCATTTTTTATGAATAGTACTGGTAGTAGGGTATTAGAATTATTTCAATTTCTATTATTATCATTAGTCGTGGTTTTATTGTGATCATAACTGATCTCACTGTTTTGGGGGGAATTATCATTCCTCTTCTTCTCCTCCTTTAACTTATAATTATCATCATCATTACTTTCATTTTTTTTTTTACCATCTTTATCATCATCAATATTAAAAATAAAATTACTTCATTCGCCATCATATGTTCTAATTCCTACCTCAAATACAGTTCCTTTGGAGGTTTCTGTCCATCCATCAAGCCAGATAGTCAACACCAATTCCTATGTGGAGCTGACATGTAGTTTCAACAATGCCAAGCGATATCACTGGTACAAAGACGATGTCCTCTTGCCTAACAGTGAAAATCAGAATCCTTTGATAATCATGTCTGTCACGCCAAGTGACATCGGGTATTACTTCTGCCGAGGCTTGGGGAGAAATGGAGAAACTTTAGACACGATGCGAGCATCTGTATATGTCAAAGGTAAAAACTTTGCTTGAAACAAACCACAGTAAAATAACAAAAAATAGGGTTGTGTCTAGCCTTTAATCAAGGCAACCTGTGCACTCTAGCAAGATTTTATCTCTGCCCTCGTAGCACATGAAATGCCCTTGTGATTGCAAAAAGTTTCATGAAGGGAGCATGGAGCTAGCAGGCATACGTCATTAAAGACTTACAGATCATCAGTATTAAACAGCATTACAAGCCTGTAAACTCTGTCTTTGTCAGGCAACTTGGCAAATAATAAGCAAATTATTCATTCAAAATTCATTTACATTGATTAAATATCTGATACACGTTATAAGCATTTGTCTTAATCAAACTTCCATAGTAAAAGAAATTATATACAGAATAGGAATTTGTTCATTCAACTAAGTTTTGAAAATATTAATGTTATTTCTAATGCTACGGGTGAAAATAACAAATAACAACAACAAAAATGTGATCGCAATTGAGAGATACCAGCGCGTAAAACAAAACGAACGTGATTTTACTGGGTACATTATGTGTTAAGTATGAGAGAAATGTTCTCATACAAATACTGATTTAATATCGAATTAGTATTTAAATTCATTTTCTTAAATGTATGTGTAAGTTACTTGTATTCTAGTATTTTTTTTCTATAAGCCCTCTTCATCAGGCCGGGGGGGGGGGGCGTTTCTCTGTGCCCTCCCCTTAATCTGTGCCACTGATTCTCGATGGGTATGTTTGTATTTTCAGATCTGACCAATATAATAGTTTTGAACGCTAGATTTGCCATTCCATTCAGCGATGAGCTTCATGACCAAACTTCTAAACTCTATAAAGAAACGGCGCTCAACATCAGCACCTATGTAAGTATATCCTAAAAGTAATTAGTGCATATCAAAAAGGCCTATCCCGCTCTTGTGATATTCTGCAAGGTTGGCATAATATTCTTTTGGGTTTAAAATAGACGATGGAATTATAGAGTGCGAGTACGTTGTTCAACACGTTTCCTAGCAGGAATTTGGTGACGACTTATTGCACGTACATATAGCTTTAACATTTTCAGCTCTTCTCATGGTGGAGACAAGACTAAAGGATCCGGAAGGCCCTCTTCCTCCGTTTACCTGCAACTCGGACTCTCTTGTGAAAAATAAATCAGCAACTATTATTTGTGATGAAACTTGAGGAAGATATGCATCTGGAGGACCTTCCCATTATGGTGCTGTCGAGGGTAACATTCTAAGGTCAAAGCTAATTCACATCACCGTTTATACACTTACGGTACAGATACTTTCATTCAGTTCTTCAATTTTGTTTTTCTTTAAAAATGCAATTCTATAATAAGTAAATTCTTATGAATATAGTATGGACACAATGTTGCATGCGACGGGTTTACGGTTATGACGTATACTTTAATGAGTTACAAAAGAGTATCAGTATTAGAAGGGGAAATATCTATTTAACGCTTTATCTTTTATGTTTGTTATTTTGTATCTGTATAAAGGTAGAGCAAGGCGTCCGAACCAGTACTGGGTTGCAGAGTTTATCAGTAGTATGCAGAGCCCTAAGACCAGGAAGCGTCAAAGCTGACATGAATATCTACATCGAGCGGACCAATATGACGGCAACGGAGACACAAGATCTTATTGGTCTATCTCTTGACCGTCTAGCCAATGAATCGAACGGTTTTCTCGATTCAAACACCATTTCAGTTCAAGATAACGGTACTAATTTCATTCATATACATGTAGTTTTGAAATTCAATTTATTGTGTATAAGGACGTGGGGTATCCTTAGATTGATGGGATGACAGGTTGGTGACGCGAAAAACCAGGGGTCATCATTTTGTTTTGTCCCGCCTTGGTGATACCACTCATTGCAAGCATTTGTTTGAACATTGGCTTCTGAAGGGGAGGGGATTGGGCTATGCCGAATACGCCACTAAACTGGACATGTGGCATCGGTACGATAGGTAAATTGAAACGCAAGATACCTTTACCCTAACCCAGCCCTAAACCGCAACCCTTACCCTAACCCTAAATTAAAAACAATATAACCAATTAAACTAATGACTAGTGATATAAACCCTTTGTTTCTTGTCGGTTTCCTCTACATGCGTTCAAACGTACGTAGAGGGCATTACTTCTTTTGTTCAATCGTTATTAAACAGTACACGAAAATGTCCTGCTAATGACCATGTCTATTTTGAATATGAACAATTTGTTCACTACACATGTTCGTGTTATGACGCCTTAAAGTAAATATAAATATATATATATATACATATACATATATATATTTACACACGTGTACGACTGCGTGTGTGTGTGTGTGTGTGTGTGTTCCTTTTTGCGCGGGTGTTGTCTGTTTCTGCGGCCTTTTGGCCCTTCATTTTAAAGTACTTCTTTAAATAATTTGTATACTTATTTATAGTGATTACATTACATTACATTCTTTTTTGTGTAGCTATTTGCCAGAATATCTCCTGGATATCTCCTCGCTTTGAAAAAGTCGAATTTCCGGTTGGTGAAAACGGAACATGGACAAATTCAACAGGAATGTGTCCATTCAACACTACTCAAGGTTTGTTTTGAGAGTCTTTCGTTCATCTTTAATTTGGGGAAGCGTACGAGCAATATGATAATTTCCCTATAGGCTTGTTCAGATATGGCGCGAGGCCAATCGGGTATAATACGACTACGGACGACGCGACAGCAGCATTCACATGCGTGCAACGTACGCGAAACCGAAGCGTGGGGAGAACTTTGGTCTGTTTCGCGGACGCTAGCGCGCTGACCCAGTTGATCAAGTACATTCGTTTACATGCAGTTGTCAAAAAGAAGACGTAGACGGCGTTAATCAGTATTTGCCATGATACACTCCATTTAATGAATGGCAACTGCGCGATCGAGAATGAATCATTAGCTCGTAATATTATTTCAAAAGTAGCTTTATCATCACGATGTTCAACCGATGTAATTTGATTCTATCCATTATTGAACACTAGCGAATAAAGATAGGGGCTTAGGGTCTAAAAGCCCCTCCTCATATATATTCAAGCCCCTAAACTGTGTTCATGAAATCAATCAAAATTAATTGAAGCGAGGGTCACGTAGAAAATGAATGCAGGAACCCAAAGCCCCCAGCCCTCCGACCAAAATAATATTCAAGATCTGCGCGTGTAGTTGAATGTTTTGAATAGTTCCAGAGTCATGAATTACTTGAGGAAATTTCAATCACAGACGGAATTTCTTTACTTCATTAGTATGTCCCCTTCTTAATTGTATCTGGTAATAATTGTTTGCCAGTGTGCTTTTCATATGATAAATATATGTGTATTTTTATTTTTATACCGAACAGTTAATGAACCGATTGGACGGGCCCTGTGTATCGGCGATGGTATTACCCAGAGCCAGTGGCAACCTGTGGATAACTGCGGACCATTTAGAAATGTCACAGATATTCTCACCGAAATTGCACAGGTTTTTGGAATTTTCTTTTCAAATTTCAATCATTGAGAAGAGCCTTTTTTTTAAAGAACTTTCATATGTAATGCACTTGTGTTTAACATATTGTACATGTCACTAATCATGATGAACTGGAAAAATATGATTTTAAGGGAAACATGTTCTCTAATTTTATGTTACCTAAACGCTTATGAGTTAGAATGTTTTGCGCTGCGTCTTAACCCCTTGAATTTTCGAATCCATATTTTATTACTTTTTTGTCAAATTCTCCCGTACATTTTTGATACCAAATTTATGCAATACGGACCAACGGCCGTATGGGTGTCAAATTACAATTATTGATCACATGTCAATCAAAATGTGCATTTTTTCCCCATTTGCTAGTGTGCTAGCCTGTCGAAGAATCAATAATCATCTCAAAATCACCTGATCTTTGTCATTGTTAAGAAGGTTTACACTCATATTTTACTAAGTGAGACCCATCCTTGGTTCATCCTACATTATAAAAAACCATAGAAAACTTTGTATTTGTTTATACCCAAAACATTTTAAACATAGACGTATATTATTTGATAATAATGACAATTAATGTTGTTTTCTTAATTTAAATTTTAAACAAATCATGTAGTTCATCCGTTGAACTGTTTAAATATACCAAACAACTAATTTTCCAACCATTTTCACACTGTTAAACTGCAAAGTAGGTATGTTTTGAACATTTTGCGAAAAATTAATAAAGCAAAATGATGAAAAAAATTTGTTGCCATGTTTTTCATTATACTCATTCAATATGTGTACCAATTTTCCTCTCCATGTCGCCAACCATAGTCAATATCATAGGGGGAGGGGGTCATAATGCAGTGGCAGAACCAGGGTGAGGGCTTGGGAGGGGCACGGACCCCACCCCTGACATAAAAAAGAAGTACAAAATAAAGATGTTAAGCACAATTGTACCTTTTTTCTTCCTCAAGAAGGGGGGGGGGGGTGTTTAGTAAAACAAAAAAAAATGCTCATAACCCCCCCCCCCCCCGCCCGCTTATGCCCCGCTAAATATTTTCTCACGAATTGCCCCCCCCCCCCCCGGGTATTAGAAATCCTAGAAATACTTCGACCTCATTAAGGTTAATTAAGGAGAGAAAGTCATATCACTCAATATAAACATGCTGTAATGATATTTTCCCCTCAAATGTTAGGTAATCGTAGATGAAGAAAACGCAGGTGAAGTGAGCCAGCAAGTATCATCTGTTACGTCCAACATCGAAGATATCACATCAGATGACATCGCGTTTGTGGCAGAGATAACATCAAACATTGTGCATCAAAATCTTACTAGTGAAGAGGTATTCTGCACGATGCCAGACCAATCATATTGAACATGAATTAGAGATTGTTTATGAATTCAATTATTGTATTATGTTCTGATAATCATCTAATGGTAAACAAATTGGAGCCTTCCTTTAGGTACATTTCATTAATTGTCATATATGTGAAAGCGGTAAATCTCAAAATCGATTTTAACAATATTGGACGCCTTTTACTTACAAGTAAACTACTGTGAATGAAAAATTTACTAGATCCTTGCCCCGTATCCGGCTCTTCTTCTTTTAATTTTGTATAATATCTTATTAGTTCTTTGATATATATATAGGTTTCGCGCTGCCCTTTCATATCTTGTTGACACCTTGGCAGTTGCTTCATCCAGAAGTCGTGTAACGGCATTAAGAGAACAGCTGTGCCAAGGCTGTCATGTTATTTAATTATTTAATATCATATCGTCATTCGGTTTGATTTCCGAGATTTGGCAAGTTTCTCCTACCATAGAATAAACCATCTTCATCCTTTGTGTTTGAATTGACAGGTAACAAACTCTATTACGAGTATTGTGAGCAATATAGCTCAGGTAGAAACAAAGGAACTTGAAGCAGCAGAAGAAGACGGTGGGGCAATAAGTAAATTTGTCCAGGTTTTTGAGGAACAAATCAGTCGTGTTGAGGTTGCCGATGGTGGGATGCTCCTCATTCAGCAGCCAAATGTAGCCGTACAGGTGATCTTATATTTATATCATAGGCTAAAAACAAATTATTTGAAATCCACCAGTATACTTAAATATAGAAGTTCAATTCCAAGTTGTATAATTGTTTGCATGCATGTTCAAAATAAAGGAATCAAACATAAACCTGACACTGCCATTCCTCCATTGGGGTCCCATTTAATCTGGTGTTCAACAAGGCGCGACATTTTCACCATTTGTATGAATGCAGTTGTGTAGTTTAAAAAAAGATATGCCAAACAACATCGTAGGTCATTTTCATTATCTGTGCATTTATTTCTGCAGAATTCTTCATATCTTGAATTTGTGGGATGCCTTACTTGAGCTTTTGTGCATGTTGCTAATCGCTTCATTTTTAATCATCATCAACGATAATGATGATGATAATATTAATGATAACAATAATAATGATAAAAATAATGATAACAATTAATCTCATGGAGAAAAAAAATAATATTAATAAAATTAATTTAAAAAAATAGATTATTGATGAAAGTATTTACAATAATACAAATAATGTTAATGATGATGATCATCATCATCATGATAGTAATATTTGATTTGTAAGACGCCAAAGCCACTTGAAATCAAATACTCAAGGTGCACCATTTCGAAGTAGAAATCGCATAAAAGCATTTTAATTTTAAACAAACTACATACAAATGAAATAAAAGGGAATAATTAATTATATTCCGATCCAAATAGAAACGATTTTACATTATTGTGAACACCTCAATTGATCTGCTTTTACGAATTTGTAAAGGGAGAATATTTCAAAGCGAAGGCTCTGCACGAGCGAAGGTTTCCTCTCCCAGTTCTCTATTTTCAGATAATAATGATAATAATAATAATTACAAAGAGATCTTAGTAATACTTATAATTTTTTTTAAATACAACAAAATTATAATACAATAATAATAATAAATTATAATGATAGTAATGTTAGAAATAATGATGATGATGATTATGATAATAATAACAATAATAAGAGTAATACTAATTGAGTCCTAATTCCTATAACAGGTCCAGAGTGTACCTGCTGACGACGTAATGCGTGGTCTTGTGCTTTCGGTAGCTGGATCCAGATTTTCAGACCTGACCAAAGCCAATATTACCATCAATGCTCCGATCCAAGATGACCACGATGACGTCATTGCTACAATACCAGGCATCATCGCTCAGGTCAACATTCCACCTTCAGTTGCATCCGTCATTTCGTCCACGGCCCCACTCTCAGGATCGCTGTCGAATGGCAGTGGTGAATACGTTCGGGTCAACTTCAATGTATTTTCAACTCCAGCCCTGTTCATTTCTAAATCATTGCGCAATATAAGTGCAGCTAATGAAGGCTTCAATCGATCGGCTAACTCTCCCGTGATTTCTCTCAGTATTGGTCAAGGAAAAGTAGCAGCCTTGACCGAATTCATCAACTTTACCTTCACTACAATAATGGTAAGCTATTGCAAGAAATGTCATAATAACGTTTTTAATATAGTATACGTATTATTTAGTAATCTGCCTTTAGCTGTATGTATAGATAATTACATTTGAAGCCATACATATATAGAGGATATGTAAACATTATATGTATTTCACTCGTTTTTCACTCCTGTGTTTGATTCCCCTAATGGTAAATGGTCTTTAAAGTAAACCAATCAAAATTATCATTCATTCTTCCTTTATGTCTCTTTTTAAAACTAATTCTATTATGGGTCTTGCGGATTTTGTTGTTGTTGTTGTTGTTTAGTCTGGATACGTGAATCCCATGTGTTCGTTCTGGGATGAGGAGGAGGAAGATTGGTCCCAAGACGGGTGTGTTCTTGTTTCTGGAATCACATCATCCGATGATCGCTCTGATGAGGAGATCGTGCGCTGTGCGTGTGATCATCTTACCAACTTCGCTGTTATAATGGTCAGTGAAAAGCAATTAGGCAATTTGCATATACATTATCACAGGCGCGTACGCAGGGGGTGGGGTGGGGGTTGGGGGTTAACCCCCTCCTTTTGGTAAAAAAAAAAATATATACCATTGGATGGCTGACCTAATATAGTTGACCTTACCCCCCCCCCCCCCAAACGGAGCAAAATGTCAAAATGTCAAATCTTGAGACCCCCCCCCCCCCCCACCCCCCCCCCCCCCCCCAAAAAAAAAAAAAAAATTGTCCTCTTACCCCCCCCCCCCCCCCCTTCCCCTCCCTCCCCCATCCTTGAAAAAATCCTGCGTACGCGCCTGCATTATCACCATTTAACTACTCCCCAGACAACCATAACCCGACTAACTAAAGCTAGGAGCCATAGCGTGATAATGCCCTGGATGACCGAGGGGTATAGTTGGTCCTACAGATTAAATAGTATGGTCTATGTACTATATAGTGGGAGACAGTATATATCACGCCTGTGGTTTTGCGAATGGAAACGGCTACTAGCTAGTTTATTTCCAGACAGGTGAAACACTACTACCAGGTTTGTGTCGATAAGCGGTCATTATTCGACCTCTTCCCCTTTTACAATTCCCCTTTTACTTCCGAAGAACAATGGAGTATGGAGCTAGTCTTCAATTGGGTATGAATAATTATGGTAAAATAATCAGTTTTATTTGAGCATTCGAAGTAAATGTTTCAGTGTGGGCTCAATTTTCGTTCATGTTACAGGATATCCATAGGCAGGAGGTTTCAATACCAATCGAGGTATACAACATCCTGACTTACATTGGATGCTGTATTTCTATCTTCAGTCTTCTTGTCACATTGGCAACCTACCTGTGGAACAAGTGAGCCCATTAAGAAGAAATAATGCAATCATTAATGTAAAACAAAGGAGACAGAATGTGTAATTAGACTCTGGTCGTTTTATCTTCAATTTTATTTGGAAGGTTTTAAACGTGGAATAGGTATATAAATTGTCAAAGAGATGCATTTTTAGAATTCATTAAATTATCATGCAAATTCAAATAACCGCCTTTTTAATAAAAGTTTCTCTTTATCAAATGGGATGAAATTCGTATAATCCTGCAGCACAGTTTTGTTTGGTATCACTTCTGTTTGAAGTGATATACAGTTCATAAAAGAAAGGGGAAGAGGAGGGAGAGGAGGAGGGAGGAGGAGGAGGAGGAGAAGGAGGAGGAGGAGGAGGAGGAGAAGAAGAAAAAGAAATGGAAGAAGAAGAAGAGAAACTTTCATAATATTACAAGATGCTTGGTGATGAAGGGGTGGTGTGACAAGAGACATAAATAGGTTGCAATTAGAAATAAATTGTTTATAGCATATCGATATATTCTACATTGCGTCGGCCGGGTGGCAGAAGGACGTTAGCGCGTGAGCGACTCGAAAACTACTTTTCGATTTATTCGCGTTTAAAGATTTTTTTTTATATTTAAACTGCCTTCCGTCCCGAAAATTGATTTAAAACTTAACAGATTAATAGAAATGTTATAGTAGAACACGGCCACAATTGTTTTTCTCAGAAATAAGTCAGTTGTATTAAAGTTTGAGGCGATTTAGTGCTAGCACCCTTTTGCTTAACCCCTTCATTTTTACCTGAAGTTCGAGCTTACGCCCTTCTGCCAGCCAGGCGACGAAAAACTTCGTAGATAATTGGTGTACAGTTGGCATAGAATGAAAATCATATTAATTTCGAACATCTTTGGCGTAATATTCTCCTATTTGACATCGTCCTAAATAGTTACACTCAGATAATTTTTATATTTAACACGCGTGGCCATTCTGAGGGTTGTGCCCAGTGACAAAAGAGATACATGTATAAAAGTAAAGCACAACCAAGTAATCTCCTCATTTTACAAACATTTCCCCTCGATTTTACTTCGTTTTCTTGTTGTTTGACGTTTTTGTTAATGTGTTGCCAATCAGGTGATGGTAAACTTGTACATGTATGGTACAATATTGCTTCGACGCTTTCCTAAACTTATTTTTATGTTTCAATCTTGATAGGGATTTGAGGACCAAACAGGCTAACAAGATCTTCATCTGTCTGTGCCTGACATTGCTATGTCTCTACACGACATTTGTCATCATGATCTCTCTCGATTCTACCAGAGATTATCGTGAGGTCCAAGCTGGACCCTGCGGGTTCCTGACGGCCCTAGTTCACTTCTTCGTTTTATCCTCTATTGCATGGATGGGTGTGGAAGGGTACAATACCTACCTCATTGTTGTAAAGATCTTTAACACCTACATCCAGAATTTCATGATCAAGGCTTCCTTAGCTGCATGGGGTACGATATTTGTTTCATTGTATCATTTTACTGGGAATAGTGCTTACTATTAACAAGAAGTGTTTGCATGGTTTTACAAACGGATTGTAGTCCAACAGTGCACATGAATTCATAACTGTTGCCATTTGTGTGTATTTATTTCGTTATTACCATTGTTTAATGGCATTCGATATGGCATGTGATTTGTACAAAGAAGACTCTTAACTCAGGATAGTATAACAATCGAGAAAGCTTTATCATTTTAAAAAGTACTATTGTGCCGCCATGACCGTGGTAAAAAATTGTACACTGGACAGCACAATATTAGGGAGTTTTAGATTTGCGTGGACTGATACGTGTGACGTCCATTCAAGGCAGTGCGTTAAAAGGACGTCGATCGAAGCAATCCTCATTGTCTTCGTGCGAATCTAAATGCCCTAATAACATAAATAGGCCTATCAAAGAAACGGGGAAAGGATAGAGCTAGGCCCATGACTAATGTAGGCTTATTTTGGATTACTAAAACAATTGTATTTCCTTGTACACGTATGTTATTACAGGAGTTCCTGCACTTATCGTGGTTCTTACTGGAGCTATTGCTAGAGACTCTTATGCTCATGATGATCTGTAAGTGGTAACGTTTGAAAGTTTAGTTGGAATATTGGATTGCATAGCATTAGGTATACCTAATGATCTTCAAATTTCGGATTCAGCAAGATTATATTTATGTACGTTATCGTGGTTCTTACCTGGCGCAGGGATTGTATTGATCATGTAGGATGCAATTCCAGGACAATGCCTGCCTTTAGCGCTCAGAGACTTCGGTGGAAAGCGCTCTACGAGAAACTTTTTTATAATTATTATTTAATCTGGTTTTTAGGTATTTTGGTATCTTATAAGTTAGCAAGTATGATATTATGATTTGGAATTGGTATTTCAGTATCACTTTCGCGGGTATGTTTTGTGATCCAAGCTTTATAAAGGCTACCAAGCATATTTGGTCACCATACAAACTAACTTCTCAGATATTGTTAATAGCATATGGATCAATAAATCTTCACCTTTCCATTAAAATAGATAATGGAAAATCATCACAATGACATTTTCTCAGTTAAAATGTTTCAAGGACCATGGACATTTACAAAAAAACTATCGCTAAGATAGTCAGTATTGATTGACTTAATTCAGTCTATTTACAAAATGCATATTTACTATCAATAGATGCTTTCTACAATTCTGGGCTCAAATCGGTGGTCTCTTGATTCCCATGGCCATTATCCTACTCATCAACATTGTCATCTTTGTCCTGGTGGTTCGACAGTTGCTCCGGTCAGCTAACATCGGCGGTCGGGCGAAGAGAGAGGCTAAGGCAGAACGTCGAGAGACTATCGAACGCGTCCAAAACGCGATCTGCATCTTGCTTCTGCTCGGTCTGACCTGGGTTACCGGATATCTTCTTTTAATCCCGTTATTTAGTCAGGTAAATCCAACTGCGTAGTATCTATCTCTTGTAAGAAGTATCTTGAGAACTCAGTTATAAATGATAAGATACACCAGCAATACCCATGTGGATGTTAGGTTTTTGAAGAACATGAGAGAATGCCATATACCTAATTATTAATTCTGAAACATTTGCGTTTAACAGGTGGCTCAGCCAATTTTCGTCGTCCTCAACTCCTTCCAAGGATATTTCATCTTTCTACTCTACTGCGTCCGGAAGCCTTTCATCCGTAAGAAGTGGGGGCTAACTTGTTTCGACAAGTTCCTAAAGAATGAAGCAAGCACTTCCAGCGGTGTGGTGAGCTCAACGGTGCCACCTCCGTCATCTGGCGTGATAAGCAAATTGCGTCCAGGAGCCTCGGATAATTACTTGATGCCTTTCAAAGACGACAATCCTGATCATATGTGTATGTTCAATCCGACCTTTGATGTTAGCCAGGTTGAGGAAGGAGTAACACTACCCATGAACAAAGATATCCAGAGTTCCACCGAGGAACAGAAGAAGGACACGGATCGTGATGCAACAATCAGTGATGTCATGACGGTTAGTCTCCCTCTTGATGCATCCGTCGCAAATGTCGCTGAGAGAGGTGATGGTGTTTCTCCCACCACGGATGCTGACACGGTCAGTGTTACTCTAGATTCAACTGATGCCAGCAAAGCTACTGGCGGTAACGATTGTGTTGCTTCCACCACCAACAATGCTGCCGTCTAAGGATGCAGAGAATGGCACCAAACACAAAGCCTTTTTATTCAATAGTTATTCAAGCAAGAATAAGGTTTTAAGAGAACGTTTTGTTCCATTGGAATACTAGGCAGGGAAGGGAATGACTAGACTGGGTGTCGACTGTGTCCCTATTCCCTCTCCCGATCATATTGGAATTACCAATATACCGTCACCACATATTCGGGCAACCAGGTGTGGGTATTTGTTATCATCTTTATTATATTTCAATCATGAATTTATGTATTTTCAATTAATGTGCATTTTATTGAAGTAGTTAATTATGAAATCATTATTTTGTTTACCATTCTGTATGGTGTATGACCCAGAGAAGAGGTCAATTTTTGTTAAACGTATTTTTTCAATTAACTGTTATCATTTTTTGTTAAGACATGATATATAATGGGAAAGGAAATTAGGCAATGACAATTGTCATACAAAAACAAAGTTCCCCATTGCTGTCCTCTTTTTGAATTTCTTTGCAAAGGTTGAATAAAATTGTCTCCGCCGAGAATCGAGCCGGGTCACTGGCTGTGAACGTCAATGCCTTAACCACTAAACTACAGAGTAAAGGAAATTAGGCAATACTAATTGTGAAGCTCATAAAAAACAAATTTCCCCATTGCTGTCCTCTTTTTGAATTTGTTTGCAAAGGTTAACTAAAATTGTCTCCGCCGAGAATCGAGCCGGGTTGCTGGCTGTGAACGTCAATGTCTTAACCACTAAATCACACAGAATTCCACCCTCCCCCCCCCCCCTTTGCTTTTTGCAATTACCATTATTCAGTCACAATATATTCGGCTAACCAGGTGATTGCTATTTGTTATCATCTGTATTATATTTCAAAAAAGAAATTATTTCTGTACAATTTATTTGAATCTTATCAGAGTATTCATGATCAGAACATTTGTTGTGTATGATACTTTGTGGTGTATTACTCAGAAAAGATGTATTTCCATTTTTGAAGAAAAACGTACGATGATAATGATGATGGTACGATGATTTTTTTTTTCTCCAATTCTTAATTGGTTCGATTTATTATTACATTTCAATGACGGAATAATCATGTATTTACAATTTGTATGAACCTTATCGAAGTGTTCATGATCAGAATATTTTGTTTATATGATACTTTGTGGTGTATTACTCAGAGAAGAGGTTTATCCACTTTTTGAGAAAAACGTATAATGATGATGATGATGGTAAGATGATATTTTTCAATTATTAATTGGTTCGATTTATTATTACATTTCAATGACGAGATTATATATGTACAATATAAATGAGCCTTATCAAAGTATTGATGATCATAATATTTTGTTTATATGAAACTTTGTGGTGTATTACTCAGAGAAGAGGTCTTTCCATTTTTGAAGAAAAACGTATAATGATGATACTGATGGTACGATGATTTTTATTCAATTCATTTTATTCATGACATAATATATATACATAATAGAAAAGGAAAATAGACAGTGATGGTTGTGTAGCTCAAAGCAAATTTTCCATTGCTGTCCTCTTTTTTTATTTTGTGTGTGTGCATTTTGTTTTCCATTTTGAATAAAAGATTGTCTCCGCCGGGAATCGAACCGGGTCACTGGCTAAGAACGCCAATGCCGTAACCACTATAACACACAGAATCCCTCCCCATCCGCCTTCCCCCAGCATATTTTCATTTGTTCATAATTGTTGTTTAAAGGACGAAATTATATCTGTACAATTTATATGTATTTTATCGAAGTAATCATGATCAGAGGATTGTTTTTATATAATACTGTGTGGTGTATTACTCAGAGGAGAGGCATTTCCTATTAAAAAAATAGTATAATGATGATGATGGTAGGATGATTTTTTGTTCTTCTATTCATTTTAGTCATTTTTAGTTATGGCATGATAATATATATATATACATAATGCGAAAGGAAATTAGACAATGACGGTTGTGTAGCTTAAAGCAAAGTTCTCCATTGCTGTCCTCTTGTTTATTTGTTCTGCAAAGGTTGAACAAAATTGTCTCCGCCGGGAATGACGAGATTATATATGTACAATATAAATGAGCCTTATCAAAGTATTGATGATCATAATATTTTGTTTATATGAAACTTTGTGGTGTATTACTCAGAGAAGAGGTCTTTCCATTTTTGAAGAAAAACGTATAATGATGATACTGATGGTACGATGATTTTTGTTCAATTCATTTTATTCATGACATAATATATATACATAATGCGAAAGGAAATTAGACGGTGATGGTTGTGTAGCTCAAAGCAAATTTTCCATTGCTGTCCTCTTTTTTGATTTTTTTTTGTGTGTGCAAAGGTTGCAAAAGATTGTCTCCGCCGGGAATCGAACCGGGTCACTGGCTAAGAACGCCAATGCCTTAACCACTAGACCACACAGAACCCCTCCCCATCCGCCTTCCCCCAGCATATTTTCATTTGTTAAGAATTGTTATTTCAATGACGAAATTATATCTGTACAATGTATATGTATCTTATCGAAGTAATCATGATCAGAAGATTGTTTTTATATTATATTTGTGGTGTATTACTCAGAGGAAAGGCCTTTCCTATCAAAACAGTTTAATGATGATGGTGATGGTACGATGATTAGTTTGTTCAATTCATTTTAGTCATTTTTAGTCATGGCACAATTTATATATACATATAATGCGAAAGGAAATTAGACAATGACGGTTGTGTAGCTTAAAGCAAAGTTCTCCATTGCTGTCCTCTTTTTTTATTTGTTCTGCAAAGGTTGAACAAAATTGTCTCCGCCGGGAATCAAACCATTTCATTGTGAGAGAACGCCAATGCGTTATCAACTAGACCATATAGACGGGTCAGTGGCTTCAGCCACACCAAATTCAGTTGACTAACATATTTGGCAATTCTCGTGGAAAAATAAATCGTTGGTTGACGAAAAATAGACAATAAAAAAAGTAATAATGTAGAAAACAAACCTTAGGAGATACAATATATTCTGCTTTGAGGCTTTAAACCTTAAATACATGCGTTCTTAAATTTACATTGTTGTTCCATAATTATACTGTCTATACAGTTCCATGTGCTTCTTAATTTAAAGTTTCTTAGTCGAAATTGATATTACTACGTATTTTACTCAGAAAAATGTACTTTACTGTTGATCATTTGGTTATTTTTATTACCGATTTTGCATAAACTTCATTGTTCATAATGTCCTTGAAAAAACGAGACCCAAGTTTAACGTTAAATTACTCAATAATCCTGAATTATCTTTGGTTAATGTGCACATAATAGAAAAGCTTATACAAATATATATATATATATATATAACTTACCTTCATATAGCGCCCAAGGTAAATTATCTATAAACCCTATACATGATTAACTTGAAAAATATTGTCAAATAAAGTGTGAAAGGTAGGTATTAAGGCTAGCCTTTAAATCATTAAAATGGAAGACGAAAATATCAAGCTTTATATGATGAGTTTTGATAATTGATATTCCCAAATCATATGACTTTCAAAACAACTATTATCGACTCGTTTTGTCTTAAATCAGTCATATGTGATCTAATGATCATATTCTTTTTGTCATATGATATAAAGGAAAACGAGCTTGTCAGTAATGTATACATTAATAATACAAATAATTTAGGATTATTTAGTAATTTACGAATATAAGCTTGCGTTTCCTTTTTCAGAGACACCATGTATTGTAATGTTCAAATGTGGGCTTGCTTAATTAATTTCTTATCATGCCGATACAACGCATGAAATATTAGATTAGAACATTACTGTAACTATCACTTGTATCATCGTGCGCAACAAGAAACGTATACAATCAAGCTTAGTAATAAAGAAAACGGTGAAGGGGAAAGTTGGTATTCACATTGTTTTTATTAATCGTTTTGAATCAATATTACATATTCATATTCCCATTGCAATTTAAAAACGTATACAAACTGCAATTAATCTTGTCAAAGTTGTCCAAGCTAGCAAACAATGGATTAACAAGAGAACCCCAAATCCACGAGATCAATAGCATAATCTAAAACCAATCACAACACAAATCCCAATTCAAAATGGCGAATCACTTTATATTTTGTGTATGCAGTTCATGTCAAGGTATCTTCACAGGAATCAGGCATTTGTTTTTGATGTTTTTCCACACTTGTACAATAACAATGATTATATTTCAACTCTCCCCAGAACTAAAACTTCTCTTTAAATGACCCCCCCCCCCCCCGCCCCATACAAAAAAGGCCTCTATTCATTTACAGACAGCTAAAAGCACCCACTGTCCAGAAACACCGCCGCTAAGACTTTCTAGTCAAAGAAAATTTATAAGAAACCGATTGTATTACCTTTAGAAGTCATGTCGGGATCATGTAACATGCCATTGCAATGCTCGAACATTGAAAAGGCAATGGATAGGGCTATAGAAGTTTATAAGTGGCCTTAGTAATATTTCTATCTTTAATGTTATATCTTCTTTCTTTCTTTTTTTTTTTTTTTTTTTTTTTGGGTGAGTCTGTTCGGGCGTGGAAACAGTGCATGGTTGTTGTTGTTTGGTATTATCGGCCTTAAACGAAAATTAAATACACCTTTGTAATTATTGTAAATTTTCGACAAACAGCAAAATATTTTCTTCCACACTGACTCGCATGGCTCTATTGATCGTGGCCACTGTTTTGGGGGAATTATATAAATTTCACTCGCCCAGCGGCGTGGGACACTAAATATGATGTGACTTTAGTATATTTGTTTAACGCTCAGTCGCTTTGCTCCAAAGCATTACACGTATCTTCCAGTATTAAGTTGACTCAAAATTGTGCTACAGTACACAAAGAAATAGCGAAGCCAATTCTGAGCTTGGCCGAGTGCCATCAATTGAATTTGTTTATTGTTAAATTTTTATTTCTAAATGCTATACATTAGGCCTATGTACAAAGCACTAAAATAAACACTCCCTAATACAGTACTGTATAAACTTTTGGGTATAATCTGCCCAACACCATTTGCAAGATTATGTCAATTACAATGGAGGGGTAGTGAGCATAATTTTTTGTTTCGTATTTGACACCGAAAATGAGAACGTCGCTCAGTGGGGGGGGGGGGGGGGGGGGGGGGGCCTACTGTGTGATCACTTACTGAAAAAAATATATATAATTTTTGTTTTAATATTAAAAAAAAAAAACCAGGGGGCAGGGTCGCCCCCCCCCCCCCGTGTATCATTGTCTGGGCCCAACAACACCGGTAGTTATGTGAAAGCGATGTCTATACTGTAAAAATTTGCACTCATCCCAATTGCATTACTCAACATAAACACTAAAGTAAAATCAGCACATCTAACACTCAATTGCACACTGAAGGATAAGAAGTCAATATGACGTCAATTCATTAGATGCGGGTGTGTGCGTGTGTGTGAGAGAGAGAGAGAGGCTGCGTGTGTACGTGTGTTTGTATATATAATGTACAATAATATAAAAAATAGTGATAACAATGATGATAATAATAATGATGATAATAATATAATAATAATTTTAATCATGGTAATAACACATGTTTTTGTTGACCAAGGTAAGCTTCATCAGCTTTAAAGTTGTTCTTCCTGAGGGCCCTGCAATTACCAGGTTATATTAACACTTGGATGTTAAGTGTCAAATGTGAATTTCATTTTTTGCCAAAGGACGTTAGGGCTTGGCTGGGATTCGAACCCTCAACCGTTCGATTGAGTCTAGTAAAAGAACCACTATACCACGACA